TGCAAATGTTGATAAATTTGTACTTTAGCTCTCAATTGAGCCATGTGTTCACTTGTGGATATATATGTAAGGTGTATTTGTGTATACAAATATCTGCGGGTATCTATCTATATATCTATCCGTGCGGCCAACGTTTTTGCAAACGGTTGTATATATATATATATATATATATATATATATATATATATATATATATATATATATAATATATATGTTTATAAGTCTATATATATATATACATAATATATATATTTATATATATATATATATATATATATATATATATATATATATATATATATATATATATATATATATATATATATATATATATATGTTTATAAGTCTATATATATACATAATATATATATTTATATATATATATATATATATATAAAAATATATATATATATATTATTATATATATATATATATATATATATATATTTATATATATATATATATATATATATATATATTTCTGCGCAACATTTCTGCGCAATTTCTTCAAATAATCGATAAACATTTTCCAAAATCCTCAAAACTTCACAAGATATTTAACCGCAATTCAGTCAAAGTTAGCTACTCGTGCATGCCAAACGTAAAAAGTGTTATTTCCAGCCACAACCGAAACATCATGAAATCGAACAAAACCTCGTCAGATCGTACAAATTGCAACTGCCGCATCAAGAATGAATGCCCACTCCTTGGTAAATGCCTAACTGAAAGCCTCGTCTATAATGCCGATTACAACTACAAATCCTCCTGAGTCGAAGAACTACATCGGTGTCACAGCTGGTACGTTCAAGACCAGACACTACAACCACAAGAAATCCATAAACAACCCAGCCTACGAATCCGAAACTGAACTATCAAAACACACATGGAACCTAAAAAGACTAAACAAACAATTCAACATCAAGTGGACAATCATCAAATGCGTTCCGGCTTACTCAGCGGGCGGACGGTCATGCAACTTGTGCCTGCAGGAAAAAATGGCAATTCTTAAATCCTCGAAGGAGACGACACTATACAAAAGAAGTGAACTTTTCGCAAAATGTAGACATAAAAATAGATTCAGCGCAAAAAATTTTAAACGCGCGCGCAAATTTTGAATTGTATCAGCGCAAACACGTTAAAAACGTAATCACACAAACTTTAACTGCTGTAGAGTAATCATTCGCCTGATGATCGTTTCAGAAGAAACGTGAAACACAGAGTGTAGCGAACAATTTATTCAAAATTTTGTAATATTTCATTGATTTTATTTTAATCGATATCGAGCACTCTTTCTTCTTGGATACTTTACTTAATTGTATATATATATATATATATATATATATATATATATATATATATATATATATATATATATATATATATATTATATATATAAATATATATATATATATATATATATATATATATATATATATATATATATATATACACATCATACGGCATATGTTACATTCTACGAAATGCTTGATGAGGATTTTTGTTTTATATTTCTCTGACTGCGTGGCCCATTTTACACGTTTTACTTTTCAGCCGATACAGTCATACCAGAAGTACACTAGCTACAACGTGTAAATTTTCATCTCTAAGTTCCTGTCCACAAGAACGTTAACTTATCAAACTTGTGAAAAATTTGATCCCTGCATGTGAATTGTAAAATAACACTAGTAAAGACTAAAACAGCATTTGGCTTATGTATTAATTAACAACTGTTGGTAAACTCTCGATATCGTAGATGTATTGTCTACAAGACTCTACGCCGTTAAAATTTAGGTAAATCTTGAAATATGGGAGTTAAGACCCGCTTCCACCTTCGCCTGGGATAAATGTTTTGAGCGTTTGGGGAAATGAGTGTGAGCATTAGATTGAAAACCGTTTATTCACAAACAAATTACTATACAAACTACAGTCCACATATTTTGCATACAAATCTCAACACGAAGGATCATATTCATGAGACGTCTTGTACTTTTTCTTTATCGTGGTTTTGTGCCTATTCGCGTGTTGTTCATCCTTTCGATGTTTGAACTTCAGCTGGCGAAAAGCATCCAGACTCGAGCAACATTTTACAACTTTCGTTTTGTTTTGACGAGAGAAGCCTTTATTTAACAAACGCGGAACTGCATGGGGTGTTCATACAATTTTAATTATGCATAACTTTCAATTTTGGGGGGGGGGGCTGTTTTGAATAACCTATAGACAAAGAAATTTCTGACGTATAGAATTTTAAATTAGTTCCCTTGAACACTCTAAAAGCGCTAATTAAAAGGATTATGCTGCAATGTTTCAGATGTTTCAGAATTTTTCAAAATACTAATATGGAGTAAAAAGATCACGTTGCGGTTACTCGTGACGGAAAGTATTAAGCCCGGCGCACACTGGAGGAAACAGCTGAGCTGAGCGTCCTTCGTGACTGTTAATGTCGTATTCGGCGGAAGCTGCAAAATGATAGCTATTTTTCAGCTTATATATTATATTATGGAACTGCAATATCAGCTAAAAGTCGGAGGTACTTGGCATAATTGAAATTGCATGGATGATGGATCAAAGTAGCAAGCTTAGTGGCAGGTCTAGCAACTGGCGAATTCTGACTCAGCATGGATTTTACCGTAAATGCGAGGATAAATTTTGTCATTGTATATAATTATAGAATTCACGGTGTGGTTTAAACTGCACGGGTCTTCAAAGCTAACTAAAAGCTTTTAAAGACATATTTTATCGTCGATTGCGATCGCTTTAGAATAGCATGCATGTATAGATCCCGTCGCGTAATATCATGATATTACGCGACGGGCTCTATATATATACATATAAGTTTACAGAGGCCAGTTGTATAAAGCTAGTTAATCAGATTAGTGTATATCTGAGTTAACTGGGATTTATAACCATGCAAAATGTAGTTAAAGAGTTTTATACAACTGGTCCCCTAATATATATATATATATATATATATATATATATATATATATATATATATTTATATATATATATATATATATATATATATATATATATATATATATATATATATATATATTATTCTTTTTTACTTCTGCACCACATCGCATGCATAGCATACTTATACAAGTACTTATACATCATATAAATAAACATATTTCTTTCTATATCTTTATGGGTTATTCAGACGAGATTCCTGCATGGTATTCTTTCTTTATATTCCTTTATACCCCCAAGGTTCTGTATGTTAATGATTTGTCTGACTGTTTTGAAAAAATCAACCCATGCTTATATCCTGACGATACACTGATTTTCTCGTCTGCGAGAGCCTGTGTAGAACAAACTCTAATTTAAATCATGATCTTAATAGAGTTAGTTAAAGCCTGGTTGCAAACAAACTTCAGCATCAATCAACCAAATTAATGTTAACCGATTCCCAGAGTACACTAAATGTCGGGCTTGCATTGGATTCATTTTCTAATTGCAAAGTCAAACTTGATGAAAAAATGAAGCGGGTTGAACATATTGAATTGATTTGCAATTAATTTGGAGTGGGTCTTGGAATTTTAAAGCAAATCAAACCGTATGTTAACATTCTGATATCCATTAATAACGCTGATTCAACCTTACTTTCATTACTGCTCACTCACCCCTTTGGGGAGTTTGCAGTAAAACACAAGGAGAGGTTTACAGAAATTGCAACAAGTGTCCTAGTCTAATTTTTCTTCACCCTTGCATGCTTTACAGCGGGGTATTTTAATACAATTTTACTACCATACCTGAACAACAATACTCCTGGTAGGAGCACCACAAATGGAATCCTGAATAGTCCCTGCCACTCCATAAGTGATCAAAGCATCTGACCACGCTCGAGAACCACAACCTAGTTTTAATAGTTTGGGAAATAACCCAAATAATTTTCAACATTTCAATCAGAGGGTGACAAATCACAGAATAACAACTGATAAGGCTATTTGATTACACTGGATAGCTCTATACTCTAAACTTTTATTTCCTAGAGGTGAATTCAGTAAGAATCATCTCTTATTGACTCATCTCAATTTAATTCACAGCCGAGCGGCTGGCGAAGGGCGTAGAACAAAAACACCCGTCCTGATAACCTCGCATAAGAAGTACGAGGAATTTATGCATGACAAAAGTTTCCCTATATACGCTAGCTCCTCGCAGACAAACACTGTGTCGTACATTTTCATACAGTCAATTGCAGTCACACAACATTACGTAAGTCGATTTGAATTAATTTAGAGAACATCAGCCTGTAGTTGAATTAATTTACAATATACGTTTACAACAGACACCATGCATGTACATCTCGCATTCAGATATTGTATGTCACTATATACAAGCAATTATACTCATTATTAAATCTGTGAAATTTATGACTGGGTATATAATTATATACTGGGTATAATTATACATAGTTGATATTATATATTTTTAAAAGTACAATAGAAACGTAATACTGCTGTTCGTTATAAATCAAATTATCCATGGTTTATTCACATTTCTTCAAAATGTTCTTGGTGTCTACAACTCTTCGACAGTAAAGTCTTCAGCTTGTAGCAACTCTCTTCCCCTTAAATCTAAGAAATATTATGAAAATATATGTCACGCCAAGCTCTGTATTGATTGATCAATCTAGAGTGTAAAGTCTGGTTTCAACTTGGCTGCTATACAGAGCTATAGTTGCTATCATAGTAAAATAGTCTAAATTTATCTTCATTTGCCTACTAATGCTTAGTGTGGCTATAGTTTCTGCATGTAAAATGTAAATACGTCTTTAGTGCCAATAGTGGTCGCAGTGAATCAGATATTGACACTGTATTACATCTGCCACACGGCCTCGTAGCGACTAGCGAGCAACGACGTACAACCAGGCTGGGGTAGTTAAAGTCAATGTTTTTGGGGGGAGGGGGGCAGACAAACGACGCGAGTTAAAAAGTCTGCGTTAATGGTTCTCAGTGACAGTTTTTCAATCATGAATACCAAAGCCTTACCATGACGTCCCTCATTCTGTTGGGGAAGCTGGCCTCTTGCTTCTGCAGGAGGTAATGAAATTGTGAAAAAGGCCAATACGACTTCCTCGTTTGCATTAGTTTGGCCGGAAAGAGATCCTGAATAGACGTGAACGGTCAGACGACCTATGTAAATAAAATAGATATAGACTAATATTCAATCTTATACTGATTCATGTAACATCAACATATATATCTTTTTTCGGTCTTTTTCATGTACATGATGATGCACGTATATATATAAGGTAAACCAATAAAGATTTTTTGGCGCTTTACTCCATGTAAAAGAAAAATATTATTGCTGTAAAAACAAGACGCGGAATGTGTTTAGATTTTGTTCCCGTAACGCTGTAAGGATGTAATCTACATGACATGGGCATGTGCATGGACATAGAAATATTAAGGGTCAAGAGTCAAGTGTTGGTTTCCTTCAGTCGGTCTATGCTTTAATCTTTATTATGCATGCCACTCTTCATTCCACTCTGAGTGGGCATATTGAAAATGGCTAAAATGTTTCAACTTAAGCCTAGGACGTGCGTGTGCTCATGGAAAAATTGAAATCGTTAATTGTTATATATATAGACTTTAAACTCACTGGAAAACTAATGATAGAAAAAATGGCAGAATATATATAGTTTTCTTAATTGAGTTAAGATACCCCGGTTCTGGTTGACTACAATTTTGTTAAATCATGAACAATTTACATAAAACTCGTGATATTAGGCAGTGATAAAGTAAATCCTTCCTTGCGGTGTGTGTTTCACGTTCCCCTTATTAAATCAGTTTAAGGCTAACCAACTGCCATTCACGGCCGTCCAGGCACTAAACGTCGAACTTAGCTTTTCATACATGCACATTCAAATAAACCTAAGCAAAGACTCATTAAACATCAGGTTCGGCAAATGTTCGACGCCTGAGACAGGCCTACAGCAGCAACGGCCTTTTACTTCTTAATCACCGCTTAATATCACGAGTTTTATGTAAAACATTTATGATTTAACAAGATTGTTACACATTTTGAAATATCTATAATCAAACATAAAATTCGTCTCGTGCAAAACTTGCAAACAGCTCTCAAAGCTCTCAAACATTAGAATATTGCCCCAAAAATCTTTAGTTTACTGAAAAAGGGTTGTGAGGGGAAACTGAGTTGGGAAAAGGACAGAAGCATAAATGGAAATTCGTTTGAAAAAATATAAGACCACCCTGACCAGGACCAGAGTATTTCTAAACGCTCTCTAAAAAGACAAAGTTACTGGTCGTACTTCTTAAAGTCTATACTTCTACACACAAATGTGTGTTTTGTTTCCTCTCAAGAATATATACCTCACTCACCCTCAAGTCCATCACTGTGTGGCAATGTGACATGCAGATGCCTTGCTTCTGGTGATAGTGGGCTGGTGACGCACAGATCAAGTCGTACGTTTCCATCAGTTAGGGAAATAGAGAACGGTCTGGATGGAGGAGAACGGTCAGACGACCTATAAAGTGATACAATAGAAATATTTGAATAGTGTGAATCACGTATGCCATCTAAGTAATTGTCTGGCCTAGGATTGCCCCTAAAGTATTGCGCGTAATACATGGAATATTTATGAATAATTTAAAACTTTTATGGCATAATGCATGAGCACCAAGGCCTTTAATGCTCGAACCGCGAGGCGAATGTGTTTTAGAACCAAGAATGCCCGCTGGAATGCCGATAGCATGGTTATTTGTTTTTAACTATTACTCATTTATGGTTTTCCGACTCGTCATACAGCACGATTACCAATGAATTTCTAAAGAAATATATTAAGTATAGCAACTTCTGCTGATTAACAACGAAAATAATAAAATATGAAAATGAGATTCAATTTCCTGACTACCCGGCGTTAATTGGCTATTGCATGGTGTTACTCGACACAAAACTGATTTTGTTTTTAACAACTAGTCTTTGTTTACCACGAAATATTTACTACCTTTTACCTCTGTGCGTTGTTTCAGTATTGGAATGTGAAAACTTTGTGAAACAGGAGTGTCATAAATTGTTTAACCTTTTGTTTATGGCAGCATGCCACGGCAGAAATTTCAAATCCGCGTAGAAACGTAGAGCGTGGATACACGAGGCAGTTTTAAAAAATAGGTACGCAATGCGTACATGTAGGTAGCCTGTAAAACATTATTAACTTAAAAAGTCCAAAATTGTTTCAAACATTTCAGCATAACAATTTTAAAGGACTCATCTATGTATCTGAAAAATATTTTAGAAGATTTTTGTTCAGTTGAAATGCACTTGTGTTAAAAGTTTTGTTTTTTAAAAAAATATGTTTTTGTTAGTTATGTTCAAATAAAAGCTTCTTTTTAAACTCCAAAGCATTTGGTTTAATAGCTGCATGTCCACAAGCAAGAAATTGACAGTTGAAATATTGCATTATAATTTGTAAAACAGGGCAACTTGTTACTATACCATTTGCCGAGTTATAATTTATAAAACAGGGCAACTTGTTACTACCATTTGCAATAAGGTCATGTATTTGGTTTAATAGCTGGATGTTCACAAGCAAGAAATTGACAGGTGAAATATTGCATTATAAGTTATAAAACAGGGCAACTTGTTACTACCGTTTGCAATAAGGTCATGTATTTGGTTTAATAGCTGCATGTTCACAAGCAAGAAATTGACAGGTGAAGTATTGCATTATAATTTATGAAACATGGCAACTTGTTACTGCCATTTGCCGAATAAAGTAATGTTTTATTTATTTTCTATTAGTGTAACTTTGTAGTTGTAGATTCAACGCTCACCGATCACTGCTTTTTCGTCTTTAAAGTACTCACCTAGACCTAGTCACCTTCGCTTTAAAATTTGACAAACGTATTAACAACGTCCAGTTTAGAAAGTAAATACAAATAGATACAAATTTTGGCGTACACTTGGCGTACAATTATACTTATGAATTATGATTGGCGTACAACAATATTTACCAAAATAACGGCGTACCACATAAAGTGTAAGCAGTACCTCAATTCTTGTAATAATGCAATTATAGTTTCAAATCGTGTTGTATGTAAAAATTATACATACATATTATGGTTAATATTTTTAAGTGTTACTGGTAAATTCTGGCTGCAGACATTACCTTTTTGTAGTAACTAGTAACCCTATATATATGTTGAAAAAATAGGTAGTTTTGAGTTTGCAGAGACGTCATCGACTGTTTGGCGACTCTCGTATCGCCGCATCGGCGTACTAAATTGGCTTACATTTTTACGGCCATAAATTGTGTCCGGTGTACAAAAAGGGAACTTTTAGCTTTCCAAACTGGATTAACGTGACTTCGGTTGCTTCCGTTCTTCGAAAACAACGAAATTTTCGAAAAATAAAAAAAGTAGAAGAACAATAGGCAATCGTCATGTTTCGTATATCCGACGATTGTCGAAAATGTGGCACCCACACACAAACATCCGGACACTTTTAGACCACTTGCATTATGACGTCATACGCATAAGTGCTCGTGACATAAATGCTCGGGCTTGATTTTAGACATTGTCAGGGGGGTGACTACCTCAAAAAAATGCACTTGCTAAGTGACGAATCATGACCGATTAATCACACTTACGAAAAAATAGTATAGAGTTATTCTTCTGATAGATATTCTGTGGTAGGAGGCTGTAAGTTGCTTCGAACGAAATGGATGCCGTGTGTGGCAACTGTTCTGTTTTGGAAAAGATATTCTCGCTTTGCTTCTATTTTCGACATTGATCGAAACTTTTTTGACATCGCTTGAGAGATTAGATTACTTTCTAATGGTAAGGGAAATTTAACGTCGATTAGTGTTATAGATTGTTTCTAATGTTAGATTATTTCTATGCTGAAGAGAATTGTGTTTCGGGCTCGTATACTGCTGTTTTTAATATTGAATTCGATATTCGAGAGGAAAAAATCATAATGCGAGCTGACTACATAAAGGAACAAGAATAGCAATAATTTATCCATCTCCGTCTCAAGCTGCGTTTCTGGGGTTTCGTAAACTCATCCGGATATTTCTCATTTTGTAGATAATCGTATATTCGCTGATACAATGGACAACTGTTTGGCAACTGGCAACTCTTTATACAGTTGTTTTGCGGCTTTTCTTTGTGAGTCATACAGCCATTGTGCCTGCGCATTCGTGAAATGCTTTTGTGTAATGTTGATTAATCCAGCCATTGTGCAGCTAATGAGCGCTTTTGTTTTTGAGGAATGCCTTTCAAGTCATTAGTCATGTTTATGTCGTATATTAAAGATATGATATTGTGTAATAACATGTTTAAATTCGAAACACTAATAACACTAAAATTCGAAATACAAATTTAGAACTTTTTCAATCACGTAATCGTGATCGACCAAAGAACTAAATCTTCTTTAGTTGTTTTTATCAGGGGGACACTATCCGCGAAGGGGGGCATTATCCGCGTCGCGGATACTGTCCGGGGGGACATAATCCGCTAGCGGATAGTGTCCGGAGGGACATAATCCGCTAGCGAATAGTGTCCGGGGGGACACTTTCTGCGGGGGACACTATCCGCTAGGACACAGGCACCTCAGCTGAGGTAAACAATGACCTTGCTCAAGAATATGAGACAACTAAAAAATGGACAAAAAGTTTGACTGGACTTCCACCTTTTACATATGAACTACATGTAAAACACTTAGAAATTGAAGATACTGGTGGTACATGTTCTCACAAGAAACAAGGATACCAAATGTTTAAAGAAAAATATGTGCACTACGTTCAAGTTAAAGCAAATACAAGCAAAGGACAAATTTCCTGCTTTTTGGTAAAAGGCTTTGTAAATGCGGCAATGAAAAGTAATATATATTAAGTCTATAGGTCCATTTAAACAAGTTAAATGCTGAAGTAGAATACAGTAATTGCACGTGTCCTGGTGGCAAAGGTGGAAAGTCCAAACACATTGTTGCACTTTTATTTCAAATTATTGAGTACAAACAATTAGATTTTACTGAAATTCCTGATGAGCCTACATGCACACAATACAGCAGTGGCATGTGCCTAGGAAGGATGAATTGGACGATACAGTTCTTTATGAAGATATTACTTTTCAAAAAACAATTTATGAAAAGGATGAGTAGATTAGAAAGCGGAAATTTATTCAACCAAATCTGTTGAACAACCCCACACCTGAGATGCCCAAGTTGTCAAGACACCGAGATTCTCAGATTTGCCATCTCATTGACAGAAACAAACAAAAACAGTTATTTGGGAAAATTGTTAAAATCTAATGACTGCAAGCCATGTCTTTTTGATATTACTCACCAAGACCTTCCCTCAGGTGCTTTCCCCACTCCAAACCCATGTCAGTGGGGAAAGGACAAGGAATTAAGAGTTAGCTATAATGGAATAGAAAAAATCATAGATGTGCAACCAGGATTAAACATAATTGAAATATAGAACGTTCTCTGGTTGAAAAATTAAAATTTATTACAAGCTTTCGGCTATCAGTCTATAGCCTTCAACGGGTAGAAAATATAAATTCAAAGAAGGAGGACGCTAACAGTGAAACATGAAACTACATGTGAGTCTAACTACAGTATGAAAGGTTATATGATATATACAAGGAATAGCATGAAATATGTAAATTTTAGTGTTTTTAGTGAACATAGTATACTGTCCTGGAAGTGGCTTAGAATTATTGTCAGCTTGATCGGATAAAGCTGTATGCCATGACTCTAAAATTTTCCGACTGCGGAACTCTCCAATAATTCTAAGCCACTTCCAGGACAATATACTATGCTCACTAAAAAACACTAAAATTTACATATTTCATGCTATTCCTTGTATATATCATATAACCTTTCATACTGTAGTTAGACTCACATGTAGTTTCATGTTTCACTGTTACGCCTGTATTCAAAAAGCTCACTCACACTCTTACTCATCGAGTGTGACATATAAATTTCGTTAATGCTGATCAATGAGAAAGTTTTTTCTGAATAGATGGAAAGATTTAAGGTAAATCACTGGAAATCAAGCCCCTGTTCGGCTGGAAATACCGCCATTGAAACGCTATGAGAAGATTAAGATCTCCCACTCAATGAGTTTGAGTGTGAGTGAGCTTTCAGAATACAGGCCTTAGCGTCCTTCTTTGAATTTATATTTTCTACCCGTTGAAGGCTATAGACTGATAGCCGAAAGCTTGTAATAAATGTTAATATTTCAACCAGAGAACGCTCTATATTTCAATTATAATGGAATATTTTAAATTTAAAGAGAAGTGCTGGATGTTGCGTTGATGTGTGTTCAAAATGTGGCTTCATTGTCAACAAGAGTTTTTCATGGTTAGGTGCTAGTCCTGATCAGCGACTTTTTAATCTTTGACCCCACAGAACAAACACAAATTGGTGTTGGAGAAGTGAAATGCCCTTTTTCAAAAAGAAACATTTCATTAGAAGAGGCATGTAAGGACAAAGATTTTTTTCTTGAAATGACTAATGGAAAGGCATAACCGAAAACAAAACATAACTAATTTTATCAAATTCAGAGTTGCATGGCCACTCTCTGTGTTAAGTGGTGTGATTTTGTTGTTCACATGAGGTTGATTTGCATGTAGACACCATAAGTTATTGTTTTTATTCACAATATATGTTATCAGAGTTGTAATATTTTATCAAATGTTGTTATGCATGTTTTAATGGTTTAATTTAGTAGCAAGACTGTTACTCTGTAATTTAAATCAATGGAGGTAAGAACAGAGTCAAATAACAAAAAACACTCGTATGATTGAAATTATCAGCTAATGATAATGGTATAACAGGTTGCAAAATTCTGTAGTTCTTAGATCTTGCTATATATTGCTCTCTCAACATGGAACCTTACAGAGGCAATCTTTCTTGTTAACTCTTCTTCCAAGGAAGATAGTTGGGGCTGCCCATTTAGAAAAGGTGGAATATTTAGTGATACTCCTTCTGGCATATCTGTCTCTATATCAAACCCTCTATCTGTCATCACCCATCTCCAGAAGTTTGAGTATTCCACAGTCAATAGTATCTTCTATAAATTTTTGTCCAGGCCATATAGGAAGGACACATAGGCGTTGATGTAAATATATAATTCATGTTTTGAAAATACAGGAAACCTGACTAACTGAAATGTTAAACCGGTGGGAAATATATCCTGTTGAAGCAAACCCAAGGGCAAGCAGACAAGAACAAGAAAAAGTTAATTTTCTGGTAACAGGAATCTTGCTGTGCCACATTTCAAAGACTGCACTTCTGAAGTTATGGGGGCAGTTTTAGAACCATGGTAGATAATGTGTTCACAAGCTGGGAAAAGATAGTCAAAAAATGCTTTGAAGTTTGAATAATTAGGAAAACCTGTGTAAAATCAGAACTCGTATTCACTGCTTATGAGCTTTTCCATCTCAAATAAACGAGGTGTCATTTTAGCCATTTCTTCATTATGTTTGGTTTGTAGTGCATTGTTTTCAGTTTAGATGTGAAATTTTCTCATTTAATAGTACAACTACTTTCTCATGTTCCAAAATGCCAGCTTCATCTCCTTAAGAGCTTGAGGTGATATTGTCAAATCAGGTTGAAGCAACATATCACTCTCAGCTTGTACATTTTCCTCAATTTCTATTGTTTTGAATCGCAACTTCATTTTGAACAAATGTTCTTACAGTGGGGGGTTTTCTTGGTTTAATTAATATTCTCTTGAGAGGTGAAAATAGTTGGAATGTTATTTAAATATGTCTTTTTACCACCAGCAAAATGCAAGGAACACACTTTATGGCTAGAGCCGAAATATTTCACACCTTTTCTCTTTAATATTCATAACCACCTGCATTTTAAATCCTGATTTTTTGGAATCTTATGGAATGAAAATTTGGGGTTTCTTCTATTGCTACTCGCACATTTTGGTACACAACAGTTCCTTTTTCACATTCTGGTTTTCCTTCAAGTATGTCATTGTTTACCTCAGCTGAGGTGCTGCATGGGTTCAGCTTGCATTATATGACTGTATAAACTGTTATTTTTTCCTCTTAAATGTCGAAGTCAATATTAAGAACAGGAAATACGAGCCCGAAACACAATTCTCTTCAGGATAGAAATAAACCAAATGTAGCAAGACGATTTAAAACTTCAAAATTATCGCTCTTAAAACAGGCTTTTTAAATTTTAGCATTTTCCCGTCAAAATAAACACACAGACTCGGGCGTCCAGACTGGCTTCGTGAAACTTAAAATTCTGTTCCAAGTTTTCAATTTTCCGGGGACTTAAAGGACGTTAATAGCGGCTTAGGAGTGAAGTAGCGTAGAAAAGACAACACAAGACAACATACCTATTAAAGCTCGAGTAGCCAGACTTCAGCGAGCAAATGTTCTCTTCGCGTGTTCATATTTCGTCACATTCCAAGCGCATTTTCGTTGTAAACAATACACTAATCGACGTTAAATTTCCCTTACCATTAGAAAATAATCTAATCTCTCAAGCGATGTCAAAAAAAGTTTCGATCAATGTCGAAAATAGAAGCAGAGCGAGAATATCTTTTCCAAAACAGAACAGTTGCCACACACGGCATCCATTTCGTTCGAAGCAACTTACAGCCTCCTACCGTCATGCATCACGAGCACTTATGCGTGTGACGTCATAATGCAGGTAGTCTTCGGCGCCAGTGACCCGTGCTTGGCTCTTTACCAAGTTCTAGCAAATTCTTTTCTGAAGTCTTGATGAAGTGGCATAACATTTTATAAGCCAAATTTTAAAATTAACATGATGAATTTTGTAGGAGTTAGAAAAAAGTTGCTTGTCAACTAGAAAGATATTATTCGAACATAACCGCTCTTCAGGTGATAAATGATGACATTGGTTACTGGTTATTTTGTGTGTAATATGATACTTCCTACTTTATGCAAAGCCCTTACATGTATAGTGCCCTAATATCATAGTTATTAGTTATACCAGTTGTTTCATATATTCTTTGCAATACGAATTACGCGAATTTGCTCAACGCACATAGCACATGCACTAAACACATTTTTAATTTCACGGGTAACAAAATCTATCGTTTGATATATGAGCCTATAGCTATATGGCGACATGATAGACACTCCGAATTTGTGCAGACAAAAAGTACGGTATTATTGTCCGTATAGATCAAATTGTGCAACACTTGCTGAAACTATATCCATAAAAATATTCAAGAAAGCCATATAAATAACACTATACCTGTTTTCCATACTATAACTGCTTTCGTCTTGAACAAAGAGACCTTCTCAAGAAATGACCGTAAGCACTGCTCCGCTTGCTCAGGCTGTCTGTTGATTTTTGGTGATTACTACAGTATTTACAGGAAATTATACGTCTATGGCATTTGGTTATATTTACACTTTGTATTTTGAATATGCAAATTAGAATAAAAAACATGCATCCCACACAACAATTTCCTTTTAAAAAAAAAACCTGTTTACTTAGGGGCTGTTTACATGAGCCCGGTTACCCGAGATTCAACGAAGCGTGAGAGGACTTTGAGGTATTGAAATAAGTCTTTATGACACCAAACTAGCACATGCTATTGTTGTGGTGATTATACGACTACCAGAATCATGTTATCTGCTCATTTCAATACTTCAAAATCATCTCACGCTTCGTTGAATCTCGGGTAACCGGGCTCATGTAAACAGCTCCTTAATGAACAACCAATATAACAATTACACTTGTGTTGTGAGTATGCAAATTAAAGCATTCCAACCTCATAACATGCCAGACACTATACTTGGCCCATTATGAGCTCACTAGAGTTACACGAAGCAGTGCTTTCACAATAGACATAGAGGATTGGGCGTCACTACCATACAAATTAGCCAGCGATACCGTATCCTGCGATTCATTTGATTAGGCAGCATTCACCAACATACATAATTATTGTCGAAACTCGGATAGCCCGTAAGTATTCATGGTTAGTGGAACAATGAGATTTGTTAATGGTTTTTACAGCTCTCAACTGGTACATGCAGTCGTAAAAGAGAAGAATAAAATAAAATAAAATAAAATAAAATAAAATAAAATAAAATAAAATAAAATGTCTTTTAATTAAAGTCGGGCCATACTTCAATCTCAACTTTATTTATGAATACGAATACTCTGACAATCACGCTGTGCACAAATTGGCAGCCAAGCGCCAATACCATATAGACTGAACGCTGCATGAGATGCGTATAGGAGTTTATCTCATGCAAGTTATGCAACGCTTGCAAGGCTATACGCATAAAAATATTCGAATAAGCCATATAAATAGCATTTTAACTGTTTTCCATACTATAAGTATAACGGCTTTTTTCTTGAACAACGAGACCTTGTTTCGAAATTACTTAATTGCTACAACTTTTTAACCGTGTAAACTGCACTATATATCTTCTCAGACTGACTAGTTCTGTGTGTTTGCATGCATGGAGCTGCCTACACTGTCTGTTTATATGATGCATGAAAATCATGTCTATCGTGTTCTGCTCAGGGGCAAGTGAGAGGAATTGAAGCGCTTTTGATTGGCTTATCTTGGAAATACATGCTAGGCTAAACTGCTGCGTTATATGTACACATCATACGGCATATTTATGTTACTTTCCAGCCGATACAGTCATAGCAGGAGTACACTGGCTACAATGTGTACATTTTCATCTCTAAGTTCCTGTCCACAAGAACGTTAACATATCAAACTTGTGAAAAATGTGATCCCTGTATGTGAATTGTAAAATAACAGTAGTAAAGACTAAAACAACACTTGCTTATGTATATTACAACAACTGTTGGTAAACTCTCGATATCGTAGATGTATAGTCTACAAGACTCTATGCCATTAAAATTTAGTTAAATTTTGAAATATGGGAGTTAAGGCCCGCTTCCACCTTCGCCTGGGATAAAATTTTTGATCGTTTGGGGAAATGAGTGTGAGAATTATATTGAAAACCGTTTATTCACGAACAAATTACTATACAGACTAGAGTCTACATATTTTGTATACAAATCTCAAAACGAAGAATCATATTCATGCGAAGTCTTGACCTTTTTCTTTATCATGGTTTTGTGCCTGTTTGCGTGTTGTTCATCCTTTCGATTTTGAACTTCAGCTGGCAAAAAGCATCGAGATTCGAGCAACATTTTACAACTTTCGTTTTGTTTTGATGAGAGAAGCATTTATTTAACAAACGCGGAACTTGAGTGTTCATACAATTTTAATCATGCATAACTTTCACCTTGAATAACCTATATATAGACAAAGAAATTCCCGACGTATAGAATTTTAAATTACAGTTTCTTTGAACACTCTAAAAGCGCTAATTAAAAGGATTATACTGCAATTTTTTAGATGTCGTCGGCAATAATTGAAAGTTTCGTATACAACACCTGCATTATCTCTACTCTTCGCGCAGACTCTCATTCTACCATACCACTGATTCAAGTATACAGTCGTCAACCACAATATAATATCGATTATAATAATGTCACTTACAGGATGGTGAAATAAAAATACTGATATAGGGAGTTTAAGATAGATCTAATCGAATATTTTGCTGGAAATAAGCTACGGGAAAAAAAAATCATACAGACGTTTCAATTATGATAAGTAACTTCCATTTTTAGCTGATATTATACAGTTCCATATAACTTGTAAAACAGCTATCACTTTATAGCTGCTTTCATGTCGTCCAAAACTGGACGGAATTAAAGCAGCTGCAAAGTGATGGTTGTCCTATATATGTAATATGTTGGCATGTGAAAAACAAATCGCTGGAAAAAGCCTAACATTAAAATATAATCAGTTCCTCACTATATGATTATACATGCAATACTTGGGAGCATTTAGCTAGGAATCGTCAGATTTACTTATATATTTAGGATTATAAATTTAAAATTAATTATGCCTTGAAAATACCACATAAAATAAGTATATTTCTGTTCGTGAAAAAACTTGCAGTTGAACAAATGTTTATAAATACTGACACTTGGTCAATGGCGGTTGTATTCACATTGATTTCAAACGTTTCTGTCTACAATTCTTCGCGAGTAAAGTCTTCAGCATCCAGTAACTCTCCTCTTCCTGAAAAATATTATGCAAAATGAACTTACATTAAACTTATCAGTTAAGTTAATCGACCAAACATTTCCTACAGTTTAGATTTAAAACACATGCATGCAGGGCTGCGCAACTCCGTTGTCTCTCGGATATGAATTATGATTCCATGTTAAAGAAAATTGGTATTTTTTTAATGAAGTAGATGCCGTATAAAAAATCCGTGCATGATTCGGAGATCCATGCATAATCTTGGTGTCGTGAATTTTGCCGCTCTTGTCGAAAGCATGTAATTTTCACCATTGTGAAATATTCCTGCCTTAAACTTGTCTATTATCTGAAATAGACCGGCCTGGAATTCTAATACATCCAGTACCTTGACATGTTCACGGCAACTACGAATAATAAGAATGATATATAGCGTATATCTATCTTACCGCGGAGCAAAATTGTGAAACAAAAAACTACTCGCAAATTCCGACCAATTGGAAAAGAGATCCTGAGTAAGATCAAGGTTGAAGTGCGAGACAATCTGTAAAATATAGAGTAGTTAATTTTATTCATTTGAATGCGTATGAAATGACGGTAATTTAAGGCTATTTTCTATTAACGTTCGCTTCACCCGCGCGGGCGAAGCGGCTTTTGAAAATCTGCCCATGCGACCGTGACCGGCCTGAAAAACAAAGCGCGCTTCGCCCGCACGGACGTAATGGAGGATCGCCTTTAAGATGGAATTTATATGTCGCACTTTGGTAGCGTCGAATGCAAGATAGATCATGTCCTAATAAATTATACTGCTCGCAGGGTGCAGCACAACATTGTATTTGATCACTCCTGTTCTTTTCAAAATAGATACCTTACATTTGCGTTAAAGTATGAAGCGTGGACTAATTCACGGAAAATATTAGAGAGAAATCATGCTAAACAAGCGTCCAGTCTTTTGTACGTTTGTTTATGAAAACACCAAGTAAATTTAGTTTTGCAGAGCTTTATTTTTCAGTCTGTAAGTCTGGCCCAGCACAAATGCAAATATTTGCATTATCATGCAGTACTGATGATGGTCCCGGCTTGCGGACCGAAAGCTCTTCAAATCTCTGTAAACTCACGTGGCGTTTTCACAAACAAACAAATTTACAAAATACTATCATCGTCATGCAAACATTTAAAGACCTTATATATTAAACGTCCTCATTTCATTCCTATGTTAGTTATTATAGGGCTAGTTTTTATACAACATAATTCGTCATAAAGTAAATTGTCGTAATTCACGTGTTATAATTCCTTGTAATTCTTTGTTATGCGAAATCCGAAAAATGAAAACCGAGTTATTATCACAAATTACGACATGAGAATTACGATGAACTGCATGACGACGAATTATGTCACATGAAACCAGCCTTACTTTTAAGGCCATTCTCCATTACAGACGCGGCCTTTACCCCGCTATTTAGGTTACCAGCGGCGTACGGGAGACGATAATTGGGGGAGGGGCACATACTCATAAATTTATTATATTCATGTTAACAGACCTGTAAAAACCTGGATTTGAAAAGTAATTAACCTTGCACAATATGAATATATGAGTATACAATAAACATAATAAACACAAAAATTTGCATAATATGATATGGTTTAAGCGGATGTGTTATATAGGGGGATCCCCTCCTTTTAAACTTCTCGCCCATTCTGTGCAATAATTAATCGCAAGATTTTTTCACGCTGAAAGAGTTTCCCTTTTCTACTTACAAACGAATCTCAAATATAAAAGAACTTGAAACATCAGGCAAAGTGTTCTCAAGAGCGTTAAGAGCATAATCTGATTTGCTGATGTTCGGATAAAAAATGAAACACAAAAATATTATGATCATATGTACTTAATATTCAGGCATGCTAATAATCCCCGAGCGGGCGCGGAGCGCCTACGAGGGTACTAATTCCGCTCGGAGATTAGGAATTACACCCGGAACCCGGTAGAACATAGGCGAATCCAAAGTTGTCCAAATTCTATGTCGTGGACGGTCAACGTAGGGTGGTTTTGTAAGTTATGCGCATGCGCGAGTAACGTCTGGTAATCAACGAACGTTCTGATTGGCTCAGACAGAAAGTTTGTATATTTCAATAAGAACGTCAGCAATGTAACTGTCATTTCGTAAACATTTTTGTAAAATTGTTTTAAAAACTTTGTGCAAAGAAAGTAAAACGAGAAGAAACAAGATATAATTATGAAGCATGACAGATAGCAAAGATGAACGTGGATACAGTCAAGGGTACGTGTTTACTTTGTTTATTTGGTATCAAAAATACACACTATATTTGTAAAGTATAAAACTGTACTTGTACTGTTTTAATCGTTTGAAACTTCGATTTTAAACCGTTACAGAATTGCTGGCATGGTATAATGCAGCAAAATTGAACGGGCAATGTTTACACTACTAGCTTTATGAATATTTTTGTATTGAATGATGGAAACATTAGCTATAATATACTCGGTAAAATATAATAAGACTGATTTGAGTTTTATGTCATTTCATAATATAAATTTAGGTCAGGTTAACTCAGGAAATTGTTTACTTGGTTTGAAGTAGCGAGGGGTTGCTGCATGCATGTATTTCTAGTAATTACATCTGGTTTCAAAATTGACCAATGGGAACTGATAATTCTGTATTCAGTCAAAAACGGCACTTTTGTATCACAGAAAAAATAGCAAGTTCGTTTTCGTTATACTTCCATCTTGAGTAAATCCTGAATATATACCCGGCGAATTCAGTCCTTGAGGCCCTGTTTATACTATACCGGATTAGTCATGTCAAAGGTAGTTTTACCCTGAAAAGTATTACAGCACGATGGCGTTAACATGATCTGCCAAGTGAGAAAGTTAAGATTAGGGTTGGAAAATAAATCACACCACCATGGAGGGATAGATCGACGGAGGAATTAATATCAATTGTATGAACTATATATTCATTCTTTCAAACGTTCTTTGCCTCTTTCCTGGCAATTCGTAATATGTAGGCTATTTTGGTACAGGTAATAATATGAAAACAATGTGCACAATGGCAAGTGACAACTGTGATGGCCCGTTAAGTCAGGCTCGCAGATATTCATTCGCAAATTTTAAATTAAAGAGAATATGCAAATCTTTGGATAGCCAAATAGAGTTTCTTCCTAGACTAGTAATAGAGTCTCTTCCTAGAGTGGACTAGTACTAGTACTATAGTAGACGCGGCATATCAGTAGCGGCATGTTACGACGGTGTATAAAACAAAATCCCGTCCCCGCCGTACTAGATCCTTGCAAAAAAATTAAACATTATCTTACCCTATTTCGATTGCAATTCTTTGATAAGCCATAGAGTGAAATACGCCCGTGTATAGGTTGTATAGCTATAAGCTATAGAATTTCCTTCAACTCTATCGGCAGTGAATAGTTGTGTGTTCTTCGTACTGTCGGTTTGGTCGTACTGAACACTCTTGTTCGTCGGTTTGTCATGTCCTGTGTTTGCATCATGTGATTCTGTACGTCATGTTGTGTGATCGTCGATATTATTGGTCGATTTTGAGTTCGTGGAATTTACTTACGACGCAGGGTATAAATAGCAAGGGGGTAATCTAATTTATACAAAAAATTCAGAGGACATGTTTCGGTTACGTAACAAGAATATGGAAGTGAAAATGAAAATAAATAATAAATAGAAAGAAACATGGAAATGAAATTCCCTACGTGAACGCACAGAATGCACCGAGGAGACATGTATTACGAGCTTACATGCAGCAATTATCGATATAATCTTACTGTGAGTGAAGCGAACAGCCTATATTCTTGACGTGCATCTCGATTTCAATGATTTTTGAGCATACGTGGTACTGCGGTTTCATCCTATTATGCTTCATATTCGCACTTGCGATCTCAACTCGGGAGAGATTTCTCATGAGCACAATACTATTTGTATGACGTGAATATATTCACAATTTTACACATGGAATCGGGCTTGTTACTCACTGATTAGGTCAATGTAGTTTTTTTATCGACGAATATTCAAAGATTAGGGGTGTCGTGATCTATTACGTCGCTAAGCCCATGTATCAACCATATTTTGTTACGCGTAAGTCAAAACCAATCTGTTTATATAGCCAGCGTTGTGTTTTGAACTAATTCCGGTAATTCTGTGTTTCATACTGCAAAGAATATAGTGAAAACTGGTATAACTATACAATCTCAGGGCTCTACATGTAAAGGTTATATAGTCCGCACAAAAGAAGGAGCAGAGTTTTCGGGACGTATTACGATTTCACAGAGAATTAATAATAAAAGTGCCGCCAATTAATTTTACTCCTGCTATGCTAATATTTTGTTGTTCATTGACTGTAAAAACAATGAATTTCTAAAGAAATGAATAATGAGATGTAAATGATTTACAATTAAATATTAACATTTCGTCCCTCCCTTGCCCCCTATAACTGATGGTTGTGATTATATCATGCATAGGCTAGAATTACAAATTGTAAGCACAGTGGCAGTGCCTTTATCTTCCTCATGCAGTCATCGCTTGGGTAGTCTTCAGGATAGTAATGGCAATATTCGTATCAAAAAACTAAATCTTGTTCATATTATGATAAACGTATACAACATTATATCGTGGTTATATACCTGCTTTCCATACTTGTTTTTATCAACGAGACCTTGTTTAGAAATTATAGACCTTCTTGACAAATTGTGCTACCTAATTTTCTGATTGCTCGACTGATTGCTACATTGGTAATATCGAGATTGGTAAATACTGCACACACGCACTGCGCTATATATACATGTACACATCATAGAGCATATTTTCAATACACGCAGACCTACTTGATGAATTAGTCTGGCGCTTTAGTAGCATTTTAGTTCTCTTTATACACGTTTACTTCTCAGCTCATGCATTGAGTTATCATCTTACGACAACAATTAACGTTAACATGCATCTTCATCCCTATAAATTCTTGTCTACAAGAACTTAAAACAATGGAATAATGGGAACAAGGGAGCAAAATAGGGAATAATGTGTCGCTGATTGTAAAATATGTAACTGGTAAACAGCATTTCCTCAATTCTTAAGTAAAGAGTAAGCGCCGTTAAAATTTCATCAGGCGCTAAATTTCGAAACATGAGAGTTAAGACTCGCTCCCACCTTTATCTATGATAAACTTTTTGATCATTTGGGGAAATAAGTGAAATATATGAAAAACCGTTTAGCTTGATCGGGCGAAAACAAACAAATTGCTACAGACTACATATTTTGCATACAAACCTCAACACGAAGAATCATATTCATGCCAAGCCTTGAACTTTTATTTCATCGTGGTTTAGCTAGTGCCTACTTGCACGTTGTTGATCCTTTTGATTTCCAACTTCGGCCGGCGAAAAGCATCGAGATTCGACAACTTTTTTGTTTTGACGAGAGGAACATTATTTAACAAACGGAATTCGAGGGTTTATACAATTTTAGTCATGCATGCATAACTTTCACTATTGGGGAAGCCTGTTTTGAATAATCTATAGACAAAGAAATTCCCGACGTATAGATTTTTAAATCAGTTACTCCAGAAAAGGTCGAATCTATTTGAAAAGCTGGAATATCCTGTGAATTTGTTTCTCAATAAAATTATAAAAGCGCTGAACGGATTCATTCGCACGCATTATCGCTATTTTGTGCGCGTTTCTTCTTCTACGGTACGACATATTAATGATATTATGGAGTACACAAGTACAGTCGTCAACAACAATGTAATATCAGTAATATATGTCACTTACAGAACAGCTGCGCGGATAGCGTTGGAATAAAAATACAGGACACTATATATTATACGATCGCTTAAGGAACATGCATGATTCAGATATGATTATGTCTCTATCAGCTATGTCCAGCCACGTGTTTTCGTACACACTGATCTAACAATCACCTTAACAGAAACACGTAATATAACTAAGTAAATTGGCAGTATTTTAGTAATTCTGTACCGATCGGAACACGCTTAACAGTATTATACAAAGACAAAGTACTAGTTAGTTGATCATTTAGCTGTTTAGCAACAACCAATGGCATTTCATTTGGTACGGGCTAGTTTCAGTATATTTAGTGTTTCATATACGACTTGCATTCGTGACCTTTAGTAAGCCTTTACTATACAACTTTTTCTGCGCGGTGACTTTGTCATAGTGTGAAAAACACATGACTGGAAGAAGCCTGAACATTAAAATTTGATCATGCAGTTACTCATTATAATCATACCATTTTGGAATTTATCAATCGTCTGATTTCATTATTTATAAACTTAAATCTTAATTAAGATATATTGGATGTTAAAATACGACATAAAAAATACTTATATTGCTGTTCGTTTTAAAAATAAATGCGGTTGACACAAACGTTTATATATACTGAAAAATTATCAATGGAGGTTGTATTCACATTGAATTCAAACGTTCCTGCATGTCTATAATTCTTCGCGTGTAAAGTCCTTAGCATCCAGCAACTCTCCTCTTCCTAAAAATATGCAAATGACTTACATTGAACCTCAGCGGAATTGACTTAGGGGCTCTTCACTGGCCTGTTTCATACGTCGAAGCTTCATGCGCCGAACCTAATTCAAATGAACTAAAGTCTTTGTTTAAGATCTTTGCATTCGATTCGGCACATGAAATGTTCGACGTCTGAAACGGGCTTTAATCGGGTAAACAGCCACTTAATCGACCCAACTATTACTGACTCAACTATTAATTCAAGCTTAATTCTCTAGGCGTTTTCAATTAATACGTATGTGTATCGAAAGTCGTTAGTTGAAATTAATTCTAATATAAACTTCATTCATTGATTGATAAGCCGATGATAAAATAGAGTTTTAAGTTTTGTTTTTTTGTATGATTTAATTGTATTCGTTGGTATGTAACATAATCATATACATGATGTATACATCAATCTTACCACGAAGTAGAAATGTAAAGCAAAAAACTACTCGCAAATTCCGACCAATTGGAAAAGAGATCTTGAGTAAGATCGAGCTGGATGAAAACCTGTGAAATATAGACCAAGTTAAATTTAATGATTTGTCGTGTGGAATTACGGTATGGCCCAATTAAACAATGGATATAATGTCATAAAGTGGGAAAAATAAGGTTTATGATCTCATTTTATTGTTTGAATTGCATTCGACGTGATGAAAATGCGATGCAGACCTAACTGTCTTAAAATACAGTTCATATACTACAATATGAATAATTTAAATAACCGCTTTCCGTTCACTACTATACACGCGTAAAAGCGCTTAAGTTGATGCAAGTTGATATGAACAAGATTGAACAGTGGTGTGCTGCCCACATTGTTCAGAGTTGTTACGTTATCAACATTGAACAATATTGTTACATCCGATTCAGTTTCAACACTATTGTTCAATGTTCTCAACAACTGTTAACAATGTGGCAACACAACATTGTTCCACTCTGTTCAACTGCATGCTCAGAGTTATTAGCCGTGTAATAACTGGGAAGGTTTCGTTGATGCTGGAGTGTCGAAATGCGTTGTTTTGCGAAATCCGACATATATGAAACAAGTGACAACTAATGCAACATTCGTAATGTTGATTAGGTACACAAATCAATGAAATAGTTCAACGCGTCATACTTGTTAAGCCTAGCGCACACTGGTGCACTTAACACGCACACAGGTCACTCGTGACAATTGACACCTGCACATATTCCTCGTCTGCGGGGATCAAATTGAGATATTCTGTCATTCGTGTCGTAATATCCAATTATCAAACATGTTTGATATTTTCTAACACGCGTGACAAATGCGCCAAGCATGCGCTGAACAAATGCGATTAAAACATGCAGCAAGGAATATGTAAATGAGAAATACGATAAATAACCTTAAAAGTATGGAGGAAAAACGCAGTGAACTGGTTGCAGAAGCCATTTTAGAAGACAAACTGGTAGACATATGGCCCAAATATCCGTGTATTTACAATGTACGCTCGCGAGATTTCAAAAACAGAGATTTACGAGAAAAAGCATTTCGTCCATCCATCGTTTCGTCCATATTTTACGATTGGCTACCCTTAGGCGTCTCCGGCGCCGACGCATAAGCAAAAGGAAAAGCAAATTTTTTTCCTGTTGAGACAAATAATCGTCACTTTCATACTCCATGTTTAGTTTGTTTATTGTATATTTCACATTTACACATCTCTTGCTGCATGCACATGTAAATTAATCATTCCTGATGATGACTAAATAAAGTCGAAACGTTGAGTGAAAATGCTTCATTCGGAGTTACTATTGTTGTGTATTGCAATATTTACCAACGCAGGTTTTAAGTGATGCTATAAACACCGCGCTCGCGAAGGTATGTTTTTAGCTCGTTCAATGTCATTTTGCTAACCATTTTCGAATCGTGAGCGTTAGACAACACTATTGTAAGGTAAGAAACGGCCGAAATCGTATTTCCTCTACATTTTGAGACATATAAAGAGCTTTAAAATGCAATGTGATCCTGACACTCCATATAAACTATGGTATGTCCGACCTGTGTTTGTCCGAATTTTTGTCATTTGATGACGTGTTTTTGATAAGTGTTTGACCGTCGGAAAGGTGGATTTGGTCCCCGCAGACGAGGAATATGTGCAGGTGACAATCGTCACGAGTGACGTGTGTGTGTGCTAAGTGCACCAGTGTGCGCTAGGCTTTATAGCACAGATGTTTCTCATTAAAAGATAGGGGAATCCCCTTTGTCCACACTTCTAGCGCATTCCGTGCAAGAATCGCAACATTTCTTTTCACGCTGTTAATTCAAAATTGGAGTCGCGTTGTTCTGCTTACAAATGAATCTCAAACCCTAAAGAACTTGAAACATCAGACAAAGTGTTCTAAAAAGTGTTAAGAGCAATATTTTATAATTACCCGTTACTCTTTATACAGGGTGTATAAGAAAGGAAGAAACACAAATATATTCAATAGAAAACAGTTGTCATGAATATGTAATGTAGTAGCCTTTTTTGGATGAACACTGTGTACATAACTTGCTATGTTCGCATAAAGGTAATTAATAAGCAGGCATGCGCATACATTCAGGTAATATGGTAATTACATGGTTTTAAAATTGACCAATAGGTATTGAGTCAGTAGGTAAGTCCTAAATATTCGGCGAAGTTATTTCTTGAGGCTCCGTTTATCAAACCGGATTAGTTATGGCGTTATCCTGCTTTCCCAGATGGCTTTGACATGAACTGCCAAATGAGAACGATGCGATTATGATTTGAAAATACACCAGCATTGAAGGAATAGAACCACACCATGAATATATATATATATATATATATATATATATATATATATATATATATATATATATATATATATATATATATATTTATTATTTTGAAACGGTTTTGCCTCTTTCTTGGCACGGTGATTAATACATACTGTGGCTATTTCGTTACAATGTGGACGATGAAAATGACAACTGTGATGGGCCACTGTTGGCACGTTTAGTCAGGCTTGCAGATATTTTCCTTTGCCTCATTTTAAAAGAGAATAAGGAAATCTATGAATAGCTAAATACAGTTTCTTCCTTTTCTAGTACTTGTAGCTACATGCGTGCGCCATGCGGAGTATAAAACAAATTCAGTTCCTCCGCTGGACGTGATCTTTTCAAAATTTAAACATAATCTTACCCTATTTCGATTACAATCCTTTGATGAGCCATAGAGTGATAATACTGCCGTATAGCTATAGCACTTTCCTCACCTCCGGTGACAAGCACATATCACAATAGTGTGCAAACAATAATTCCTATATTATTATTTGTCTGCCTTCCGTGTCCGCTTTCACGATAGGGTCGAACCGTCAGCGATTGGCTGATTTTGGGTTTGGAAAATTGTTATTATAATACCAAAAACGTATAGAATTTTATGTGATAGACAGCCACTTTTCAGTATATTTTACACGAGCAACTTTTATTTGCCAATTACTATATGTGACAATTTTTTTGCTCGTGTAGACAAGCGAAATTGAACAATTTTTGTGTGGCAAATACATTTGCTGAAAAGCTGGAGTGTTAGCTTTTATATGACAAATAAAAGTTGTCACATACGAAAAATTGCTCGTGTAGATTACTCGTCACAGAAAATGTGGCGTTGGTCCATTCGGTCGCCGCATGTCAAGCCGCATGATTTGGACTTTCCAGGCATCTGCTATGAACTCGAAATAAGGCAAAGATGGCAGCCACAACATATGCATCGCAAACAGCGATCGACAATTATTAGGCGTTACTACCATATACATACACTATTAGTCACATCCTTTCAATGCGAATATTGTCGTCTTTGCAAGTCGTGTTTCATGCAATAACCACGCGCGAGAAATAATCGCTCACATTTAGTAATATTAATCGTAACCCTACCTTATTTCAAATCTGATAGCCCTGCAATGA